AAAAACCATTTATTATTTAACGTCCATAAAAATTATATTTATATTAATGATGTCTCCAAAGTTCAGCGAATTTTTCGCAAAAAAAATAATTTATCAGGAAGCATGCGAGCGCCATTCGATGACAAGCTCCATGACGAAAACGAGCTTAAGCAATGGCGTAGTCAAACGGTGCACGCTCGGTAAGTAATCCTACAATTTTTTGTTTATAGCATAGTTTATATGGATTATTCCCAAAAAATTATACGTATTTTGGAAATGTTGAGTCGAATTAGTCTAGAATCGATTAATTTTATGGAAGAAACCTTTCAAACAGCCGTAGTCCATAAACTGCATACGTGCAGGGCTGTGATTGGCTGGACTCGTAGAAAATGGATTCATAAAAACCGGAACACATCTACCATGTTATAGGGGGGTCGACTGTATGTAGTTTATCTAATGTTAAATCATTTTATTAATTTTTTTCTTAAAAGAGGCAAAATGAGAATAATAATAGCTTGCTATTTGGATGCATTAAAACTTAATAAGTATAAAGAAGCTGTTGTGTATCAGAATTAACTTTGTGATTAATTTTACAATTAATGGAATTTAGTTTATTTAATTAAGTAAATTTTATGAATATACAAATAAATTAAATGAATTTAATGAATTATTTAGTAGATAATATAATATAGCATAAAAGAAGTTTGCTTAAAGAATAGCTTTTTAACTAACAAATAGTAATTACAGCTATAAAATAATATCTACAAAGTAAAACTTTGATAAAGAGAATAGTTAAATTAAGAAAGATGTAAAAACAACAAGCCTAAAAACTTGCAAACAATTAAAGAATTAGCTCAAATTGTGTAATTATCATTTATTTTACTTTATTAAATATTATCTTTACTCAGTTTCTTTATACTAATTAGAGAGTAAGGTAATTAATGAATTAAAATAACTGATTTAAATGTTAATTTTTTGAAATAATCTAATTTTTTTTTTTTAATTAAAGATTTTCGTGCGTGCCCAATTTGATTACAATCCATATGAAGACGAACTCATACCCTGTGCTCAAGCTGGCATCATCTTCAAAACGGGTGACATTTTGCAAGTGATCAGTAAAGATGATCATAATTGGTGGCAAGCAAGAAAAGAAGGAACTGATTCAACAGCCGGTCTCATTCCTTCTCCGGAATTACAAGAATGGAGAATAGCTTGTCTAGCAATGGAAAGATCTCGTAACGATCAAGGTAAAGAATCATTAATGATTTATAGTAATTATAAGTATTAATATTAAATTATAGTAATTTTTATTCTAATGCCTAATAATAAAATTCTACTTAAGCCAAGAAGTTTGGCAAAATAATCTTAAATAAGAATCTTTGAATTGTAATTATAATTTATAATTACAGCTCACTGAAAGGCTTTTGTCAGGAACATTATGTTCCTGATGAAGGCCTTTCAAAATGGCCAAAAACGTTAGAAAATTGAATTAAAAGGCTGCATTATAAAGGTTTTTGTGTTGATGCTTGAATAGGAATACAATTTCAATATTTAGAATATTTGCATAAGGGTGCTGGGGAGGAGAAAATAAAATTTCAAAAAAGCATATAACGATTATATGAGATATATCAATTATAAAAATAATGTATCAGTGAGCCTGTTACTGGTGTGCGTCTCTTACTAAATCAACCATTACAAATGTTTTCGAACTCACAAGTTCTTCTTCAGGTAACATACAACTTTTGAACAAATGCGATTAAAATTAAATTGAATTGGAACACCAGCTGAAACTCACTCACATGGATGTTTGTCATCCCAGCCCAGGGCCTCACATTTGTTTGAATTTGGATACATTCAAAGCAGACACTTTCATTTCTCCATATTTTGTCGTATAAAGATGTTTGTCAAAATAAACTTAATCTTCATTTAGTTTCCTTAATCTTGAAATCTTTCATTTATATGTAATTTAGAATTTCATTTTAATTAAACTTATTTTACTCTTTTGCAGTGAATTGCTCAATATTTAGTCGAAAAAAGAAACACTTTCGAGATAAGTACTTAGCAAAACACAATGCCGTATTCGATCAGTTAGATTTAGTTACGTATGAAGAAGTGGTAAAATTACCATCTTTCAAAAGGAAAACTCTAGTTTTACTTGGTAAGAAAATGTTATATGCTATTTAATACAAGTGATCTTTAAGAATTATATTAAGTAGATTTTTCTGTAATTTAAATAATTAAAAAGTAAACAAAATATACAGAATGTTTCATATATCTTGACTGGGTAATGTGCAGTACTGTATTACTGTATTGAGGCTCTGGAAGTTTTATGAAGTTCGGGAACTTCTTTTTGGCAATATGTAGTAATCCTGTCACAGATTTGTCAAACAATCTATTTTTTTTGCTAAGTAAATAGGCTTGTGTCTGCTACTATGAGTTTTTACAACCCAGTTGAATTTGTGAAACAAGCTGTACTTAGTTTAGTGCAACAGAAATGCATTTACAAATCAAAGATCTTTGTTCTTTTAGATACAACTTCTAAAATGAAATGTTTCTTCCAAATTGTTTTGATTACTTTTTAAATATTATTGATGTAAAATATAAATCAAACTATTGATACAGGTATGCACTGCTTAATAATGATTACATATGTGATGCAGGTCCCATAAGATTATACTGGAGCTGAAAAATTTGTAACCACCTGCACCTTCTCCGCATTTAGATACATAAATATTGTAGAACTCCAATTATCCAAATACTGATTAAACAAATGTCCAATTATCCAAATCACCACTTGACCTCCTTTTCCACTCCCACTGACATCGCACTGCAATTATCTTATGTCATGCAACTGAATAATTAGTTACACCTATTTGCTGTGACAGATCTAAATGATCAGTAGTATGCTACTTGCACATTGACAAATAAATAAATACAGTACATATACAATACTCTGCCATTACCCTGTAATTTCATTCTTTACATGCTAATCCACTTCTCCAAATTTTCGATTATCTGATTTACCTGCAGAATGAATCAGTTAGATAATTGGAGTTTTGCTATACTTTTTATTGTGTTACACATATCCTACATGAGTAGTAAGTATACTATAGCATATAGGTTTGTCTAACTTGTAAGTGCTTAATTCTATGATATATTTATCAAATGTTTCCCCATCATTAAGCAGTGCTTACTTATAGAGGATTGACATTGAAAAATTATTAAAAATGAGTATAAATTTTAATCTGCTCCACTTTTTAATCAAACACAATGTAAATTAGCATGCTTTTTTTAAAAAAATAAGGGAGGAGAATTAAAACATGATTGAAAAGTTTACTTTAATAGAAGGAAATAAATCCTAAGTTATTGGGAAAAAGTTTTAAAATAATTAAAATATTGAAGTGATCATTTTTGAACTAATTGTTTAATAATAGAAAAATGGATAATCCAAAGTATATAAAATAATACCTCATGATATAAACAGAAAATTAGGTAGGCAGACAGGATTATCTTCTTTTTAAATATATAATACAGGGTGGTCCACTTATCATTTATAATGTTCCCAAGTTTTTAATTTCCATCCATCCCTCGTTAATCTTCAGAATGAAGTTAGATAGATGAAAATTTAGATCAGATATATGGAAAGCTTGGGTAGAGGTCTGATTAACTAAATATGAACTTTGGTCTGGATTGGAAGTCACATGATTTTACTTTCCTGGCTGTTATAACAGAGGGAAAGTAAGGCTATCTGGCAAAAATGACCCTCTCCAGATTTAAAAATTTTTGAACTTAAGACACCTTGAAATATTGAGAAATGCAACAAAGTTTGGAGGCAATTTCTGTATGTATGGATGTTAGTGTGTGTGAGGGGGTATAATTTTGTTCACTTATATGAAGTTTTTTTCCTGTTCTTTTTGTCAAAAATTTCTGAAGTTTTGCTGGTAGGTTTTTTATTAAGGGGATTGATGCTATTAAATTTTGATAGTTAAAGGTCAAGGGATGGGGAGATAAAGGGGGTGTGTGTATTTCCAATATNTCAGTTATCCGACTTTTCAATTATCCGACCAACCCCAGTCCCCAATTGAGTCGGATAATCGAGGTTCTACTGTATACAGGAAATGCAGTTGAACCTGTCTATCTCAAACATGTTTATCTCAAAATTTATTTTTTCTCCTGCACTTTCAGCATAAATTCAATATATTTTACATGTTTATCTCAAATAATTTTCTCCCAAAACCTATATCTCAAATTACAGACTGAAGTGTCGATTAGAAATACAAAGCTCAGCAACTAATTTTGATAGCTTAAATTGTAATTGAAAAGCACCGCTTACAATATAGTACATAGTTGCAATTTTATCTTATTGGCTATGAGTTTGGCTTGCATCTTATGGCTGAAGCTAATGAAAGCTGGGCATTGGGAACTATTGACAAACTATTTGTTAAGGTATGTCAAAAATCTTTTATTAATACCTAATACAGATATGTACTTTTACTTGCTATTGTATTAATAAAATATCTACCTCTGATCAAACCTATTGTTTACTGTGTAGGAATTTCTATATCTTGAAACCTATTTATCTTGAATTTTTTTCATTTATGTAAGATTCAAGATCGACAGGTTCAACTGAAATTAATTTAAAATGCATACATCACAAATGTAAGTTGCAAATATAACATTATAAGACCAAAAGACATATGTTGACCAGAGTTAAATACAGTGAAATATAAATAGATATCAAGACAACATCTAGTTACTTTGATATCTGATTGAATATGTAGTGTTCAGTGTGACAAGAATAAGAAACAGGTATAACATAAAGAACAAAACTTTATTTTATACAGTACGAACACAAAAAAGATAAGATCCCAACTCTGGTGCATTGTTAGTGAATACTTTTATACAACAGTATAGTACAATCAAGATTGTTACACAAAAGGATCTTCTCAACCACTTTTTGGGATTCACACATGTGGGGTTCAAATCACGAAAGTATATACAAAGATCAGCTGTGCTTAAAACTACCTTACAACTTATGTTTTTTTATTCTAATTAATGCTAAAAGAGGGAAGAGATGTTAGTTAGATAGGGAGAGACAGATTTATGAAGAAAGAAGTCTTAGAAAAGGGGTACCTGTAACTTCATATATCACAATGAAACTGTCCAAATATACCTTTGCAGTTCTCCTGAATTTCACTGGTGTATGTATTTTCTTTCTTAGTTGTCACTATTTCACTTTTCTTTTGGTCTTCCAAACAAGATTTCCCATTTCAACTCTCAGGACTCACTGGTGCTTTCTGTACCGACCGTATCTTAGTGATTGTACCCTGTGACTTCTGATACCACTCAAAGACCGGAGCTTGTCCTCTGCACATCTTTCTTCCTTGGGAACTTGACCAAAAAGTGCTGACTACACTGATGTTTGCCCATCAGGGCCTTCTCCACTCTTTTGTCTAATGCTCGTATCCATGGAAGTAGGACAAGGGTGGAAAGTTCTCAAACTCTGAAAACAAAGGAAAATCAAGAACAAAAGGGAAATTGATAGGCTAGGAAAGGAAAGTGATAGAAAATGAAAATAACATAACTTAAAAACTATACATAAATATGGCATTATGCCACACATGAAATAGGATGTTTGGTACTCCCTAAGATGATGAAGTATTTTAATTTCCTGTCTGTAATCCTCAGATTGTGTCAAAAAATTCTTCAGCTTTAATGATGTGAAATATACCTTTGCAGTTACTATATAGGCTACTGTGTATAATCTGTGGCAGTTTTTCAAAAACATCAAAAAATAGCTCTAAAATCATTTTTCATGACACATCAAGAAATTTTGATATAATAAAACAATGACAGGAGATTTTGCATTGTTGTTTACATATTGGGTGGATGAAAAAGACAAAAAATGGAAATGGACCATTCACTTCTACTTGCAAGTATAATAGTGTTGAATATCCAATAAACATCTTCTAGCCAATCTTTGTTTAAAAAATTTTTTATTTTTCTATTTACTTATCATAGCATCTGACCTTGACAGAATATTGGGATGCTACAATAAGTCTCATCATCTTTCACTCTTGTTATGAAGAAATTTGGAAATCTCAGTGAGGGGTCCAAAAAGTTCTTATTGACAGATGATTTAATTATTCATTCACTTTAAGTTTATTATTAATTTGAGAATAAAATGATAACCCTGGATCATACAACTCACAAAAAATTAGAATTTTATTAGTGAATGACCTGAAGTACCTGTGGGATAAAGACATCAAATAGAAAAAATTAATTTAGAATTAAGAATTAGAATTTGATGTCTGTCAAAAGTTACTTGTAGTATGGACAATGTGAAATATTGATATATTCTCAATACCAACTACAAAAATGGATTACAAAAATTTCTTAGTATACCATATTTAAGATGGTAAATCGAATAGAAAACAGTACTTTACAGCATGGACAAATAGCGGTTAAAAATGATCAGAGGACACTTACAAAGCACAGAAAATTCATGTCAGAGTACTTTATCTGGGCCACACAATTGTTTATGAACTCGTAAACTATACAGATGGCTCATTGGTGAACTTGACACTGAATCATTGCAAAATTTTAATGTTGCCAAAAGTTTCTTAGTTCCCTGTACAAAATGATATTGGTTCCTGTTCTGAAATTTCCCATCTTTAGAACAGATCATCAGATCTAAAAAATCTTATTGTACAGTACTTCTACAGACTCTCCTACACATATTGAAACCTAATTCATTCAGATATGTTGAGAAATTATGAAGGAGTTCAGCTAACAATATATACAGGGTGAACCAAAAGTAGATGGACAGTAAATTTTAACATTTATTGAGATTACATATACAATTATATTTACTAATACAATACAATACAATTTTATCAACAACGATGCTCAAACTGCTGTCCATCACAATTTACACAGCTTTGAAGTCTACATTTCATCATTTCACACTTCAACAAACATTTTTGCACAAGTATGTTTATGTATTAATTTCTTGCAATGCATCTCTGATGTAATGTTTCAATGATACTTCATAACCAAGTTAAATATACAGCATTGTGTTAGTATAACCCTAACACAAACCTTATTCTACCTACTTATGGTTTACCTTGTATACTTCTTGTATATAGATTTTTATTA